CCTTCAGACCTACTTATCCCATCATTCTTGCCACTTTCTGAAGCAGTTCTGCAAGTCCTCTTTCCTGCATGTCTTCAGTTGCATGTTCTGGCTGCCTCGATGTCCTGAATCAATTCAAAATGTTTGCCTTTCATGGTCATTTTGGATTTGAACAAGAGCCAGAGGTTGCACAGTACCAGATCTGGTGAATAAAGTGGATGAGGACATGTTGGGATGCTTTTACAAGCCTGCCTTCCCATTGGATGGCACGTAGCAGTAGCATTCACCATTATGTTTATTGTACCTTGTAAAGACACAAAAAAGGACTTTCAAAATTGCTTCAGAAAGTGACAAGGACATGAGAAAAATGTGTGCAAAGTGAGAATGTTTTGAGAATGCATGGTAGTGTCTGTGTAACTGCAAGAAATTTAAAAAATTTAAACATTCATTGTATTTTTAAATCATATCTTATGCACGATTATCTTTAAGGTCTTTTAATAGGAGTAATTTCTTAGACATGACATGAAAAGTGCTAATTATATGAGAAAATAATAAATCTATTATATTAAAATTAAGAATTAACTCTTCATCAATAGTGTCTTAAGGTAAATGAAAAACCAACACTAAACTAAAAGACTTTTTTGCCACATATACAAAAAAGAACTAGTATTCAAAATATATAAAAATTACAAATCCGTAAGAAAAAGTCAAACAATAGAAAAAATGGACAAAAGGCATTGCTCATATTATTACCAGTTAGACAAATGTATATGAAGACCACAGTGAGATACCATGTTATTCCTATGCAATTGACAAAAATTAAGAAGTCCGACAAAAACCGAGTGGTGGATGAATAGTATGTATAATAAATTACTGGGGTAGGACAGGAAAAGACAATTTTGCATCACATTATAAAGTTGAGTATTTAAGAAACATACAACTCAGAAATTCCATTTCTACATGCATTCCCAAGAATACCTCTTGAATATATATAGTTTGGTACCTCGAAGAAGTATTTCAGTTTATAGAAAGTTGTGATCTAGTTTTTTTTCTCAGAAGAGATTTTACTATCTAAAATGCTACATTTATATAGAGTTCATGACTCACATCAAGTATGTACCTAGATCATAAACTGTAGGCAAGCAGCTTCAACAAATAAGTGTGTTGTCTTCAAAGAGGGCCTTCATGCTGATGCTGAAATTGGGTGGGCAGAGAGCACCAGAAACAAACAAAAATAAATAATAAAAACTATTAATTATGGTCACTGTGTATTAAGCATGTACTGTTTTTCAGATATTTAAGTCTTTGTTTAGTGAATATTACTTCATTTAATCTTCAGGAAGCCTCTCTGATGTAGGTACCATCATTAATATCTTTTTTGTTGTGGTTTTTGGTTTTTTAGTGCTGGGGATAGAAGCTGGGCCTTGTGCATGCTGGGCAAGTGTGCTTCCACTGAGCTATAACCCCATCCCTGTCTCATATTTTAGATGGAGGATAGTGAGCTATTGGGAAGTAAAGTAATTTTCACAATTTCATATATGTTGTAAAGTTGGGATTTAAACAGAAATTCTTGTACTGCAGTATCTGTAATATGGCAACATAGAATCTATTATCTTTCAGATATAAAACCAATTTTTGTTAACTTTGAAGTGAGAACAACTCTGATTCATGGGTAGAGGCACTGGTCTATTGTCACCAAATGCTTTGTGCTGTTCAGAAAATTATTACAGTATATTTATTTCTATTAATTACCAACTAAAATTAGACATTAGATTTGCAATATAGTGTCATTTTATAAATGAATAATATAAAGCTATTAATGTGAGATATTTATCAATGTGATCTAAAAACTCTTTTAAAAGTCGGCCAAGAGCCCCGGGCTCCCCGGGTCGTCCGCGGTGGCGGCAGCAGCTGCCCTGGCGGAGCTCAGAGCGCGCCAGCCGGTTCCGAGTGCGAGGACGCCACGCCCCGCAGGAGGGCGTGAGGGTGGCTGAGGGGCCGTGGTGGTGGGAACGGGGCCGTGGTGGTGGGAACAGGAACGGGGAAGGGCCCGAGGCGCTTGGCCTTCTGTTCCTCACCGCGGACGCCTCCCGCTTCCCAGCCCCGGGCCGAAGGGGCCGGTGAGGCGAAGGCAGAGAGAGCCAGATGTCCTGGTCACTAGCTCCAGTTTTTCCAGAGTGACAAGTGGTTGCAAGTCCTTGCTGCCTTCCCGTAGGAATTAGCAATATGCACCAGGAAAATACTTCTAGAAGAAAAACAATTGAGATTCACGTACAGATGTCTTCATATTGAGTTCCAGAACTGAAAGAGAAGTTGGAGGTCTCCATCCATTCATCTGCTCCACAAATCCTAACAGAAAATGAAGCCCTTTTCTGAAATGAGTTATTTTCCTCAGGACCACATTTCATTTCTGCACAAGGGACAGCTGAAACGGGCAGAGCAGGAAAGAGGACTAAAAAGAAATGAAGTGATAGGAAGAGAAATGGAAAGATACAGTACAAGAGGAACATCCATCAGAAAGAGAACAGTATAGATTTAGTTACAGATAATGAAAGGGCCAAGAGCCACGCTCAGGCACAGGAGAGCAGAGGTAGAGATACAGGTCCTGCAAGTGGCATTCACAAAAGCTGAAACAGGAGGAAAAGGATGGAACACACAGGGAGAAGTGGAATGAGGCATACAAAAAGAAAGAAAGCAACAGTCTTTCATGGGACAGTATCCCTTTTAGGCTAGCACCAAGAAAAGCCATATTGCATTTAGGGAAACGCTGCACAGCCAGGCATCCTGGTGCATGCTTGTAATCCCAGCTACTTAGGACTCTGAGGCAGGAGAATCACAAGTTCAGCCAGGCATGGTGGCACATACCTGTAATCCTAGCCTTTGGGAGACTAGGAGGATCCCTTCGAGTGTAGGGCCAGCCTGAACTACATAACGAGACCCTGTCTCAAAAATACAAAACAAATAAGCAGAAAGTAAAATTTAAATTTGAGGTCAGCCTGGACAACTTAGACTATCACAACAGTCTCCCCTCCCACATTAAACGGGGAGGGGGGAAGGAGGTGTGAAGGAGGTGTGGTGGTGCACGCCTGTAATCCCAGCACTGAGGAGGCTGAGGCAGAAGGATCACCTTAAATTTGATGGCAGCCTAGGCTACATAGTGAGTTCAAGGCCAGCCTGAACTACATAGTAAGACCCTGTCTCAAAAAACAACCAACCAAATTCTATACATACATACATAAAAACGATTCCTCCACCTGCCTCACAGCATGGCTGGGAGAACTAGGTGAGAATTTTTTTTTTTTTTTTTTTGGTACCGGGGATTGAACTCAGGTCCTTGCGCTTGTGAGGCAGGCGGCGGAACCACTGAGCTAAATCCCCAGCCCTAGGTGAGAATATTTTTAAAAATACATATTAGGGCTGGGAATTTAGCTCAGTGGCACCATGCCTACCTTGCAAGTGCAATGTCCTGAGTTTAATCCCAGGTACCAAAAATAAATAAATAAATAAAATAAACTACGTGCTGGACATAAAAAAAAAACAGTAGGCCAAGAGATACAGTTGCCTTGTTTTTCTCTACTTATAAGACTTCTTATCAAGCAAACATCATATATAATGCTATTTGAATATATTTTCACAAATTTGGGTAATGATCATTTAAGAGCCCAGCTTGTTTCAAAATGAGTATTACTATTTTAGTCAGTTTGAGTTGTGAGAGAATATCATAGAATGTGTGGTTTAAACAACAAATATTTATTTCTCGCAGTTTTGAAATCTGGGTTTAATTAGGGTCCCAGTATGGACAGGTCCTTGGTGAGAGCCCTCCTCCTGTCTCACAGATGCCTGCATTCTTTCTGTGTATTCACATTTCAGGGGGGAGGGGGGCAGGGTCTGCTCTTCACCTCCTTTGGGGGGCACCAATCCCACCATGGAGACTTTACCCTGGTCACGTAATCTTACTCCAGTTTCCTCCCAAAGGCCTACCCACTAAATTTCATTATGTTGGGGATTAGGGGTTCAACATATACATTTAACGGGGTTGGGGGTGGATCCAAACCTTTAATCCATAATTATTATTAAGGATTTATTTGAAGGTAGGTCATACATCTGATCTGAAGAATTAATTGGTGTAGTTGATACAAAGCAAATGAGCACATATACGTCTTGTTTAGGGGTAGATATTCATTAGAGAAGAAGAATAATATAGTAGAAAAATCTGGGAGGAAAGTTTAGATACCTGAGGTCTAATAACCTGAGATTGACAGTTGCTGTCTCTGTGAACTTGGATATGTCACTTCCTGGTTAGTGTGATCTTGAGCAAGTAACATAATTAGAATCTTAGTTTCCTCATGTGTTAAAAATATAGATAATAATAAATGCCTTGCTGAGATATTAAAAGGATTAAATAAATAACATGAAAGAGCATCTTATGGTAGAATTCTTTTTCTTTTTTTTTAAGCAGGCATCGAAGCCACTGAGCTAAATCCCCGGCCCTATGGTAGAACTCTTAATAGAGAAAACTCACTTCCTTCCCCTGGGGAGTGTCAGTTACATCACTGCCTTTAGTTTCTTTACGTATGCTAATAGCATCCCTGAGAATCTGTGATTCTGAGTCCTCTGTGTATATCCTCTCATGTATAGTCAGCTTTAAGAAGTGTTGCAAAGATCCCTTATATAGGTAAGTAAGCTTATTTCTAGGAATAGAGAAAGTATAAGCTAAAACTTCATTATTCATGTGTTCCACAATCAAACTAATTTGCTTTGATTTTCTTTCTCAGCAAAGAGAAATCTCAGCACTGGCTGCATTGACTTAGAACTTTCTTGAAAAGAAAATTCTCCTTGATTCAGTTACATTGTCAGAAAGATCCACCCAGGTCTTTCGGGAATATGGTGTGAATGACATTAAAATATGTCTTTAGAATGAACATGTCCAGTTTCACTGTGTGTCAGATGCTTGACAGTTGAGAGGTATATATTTCCTGGCAGTTGGAGATGATTAAACCACTTGGTACTTTGTTCAACAGGTGGATTTTCAGAAAAGTCAGGTGAATGGAGCTCAGAAGAGGAGGAGCCAGTGAAAAAGGCAGGCCCTGTCCAAGTCCTCATTGTCAAAGATGACCATTCCTTTGAGTTGGATGAAGCAGCACTGAATCAGATCCTTCTCTCGGAGGCTGTGAGAGACAAGGAGGTGGTTGCTGTATCTGTTGCTGGAGCCTTCAGAAAAGGAAAGTCATTCCTGATGGACTTCATGTTGCGGTACATGTACAACCAGGTCGGTAAGAGGTGCCTTTAGAAGTCTTCTTGTTTCTATGCTCTTGCCACTTTGTGTTTTTATTTCGTAGAATTCAGTATTTCTCATACTATGTTCTTTGAGTATTACCTAAATATAAATACTAGGGTGTAACCATACCAGCCTCAGTGCTGTGGGGACAAACTACACAGACAGCTTTTTTCTGAAGCCACTTTACAGCATTTCCCTGTGAAAATAACAAGATTTTTTACTCCCTTAAAAATAGACACTAGCATAATGATATGACTATGAACTTTGCCTGTTATGTTTAAAATGTCAAATGTCTTTTGCCATAACTTTTTTATTGTAATCACATCTTTCCAACATTTACTGACATTTTCCAAGAATGCACCAAAGTTAAAAGAATTTGATAGAGAACACTTGGATACCCACCACCTATATTCTTCTATTAACATCAATATCCTTGCTTTATCATATGTCTCCATCTGCATTCGTCTAACTATCCATCACTCTATCTTATTTTTAGTAAATTTCAAGGTAAATTAGGGATAGTAGTATACTTATCCATAAATATTTTAATATATACCATTATTATATATATCATTAGTTTTTATTTTGAGGTAAATTTTTCATACTGTGAAATACACGAATCTTCAGTGTGCATTCGCTGGCTTCTGACAAGTGTATATACCTGTGTAGTTCAAAACCCACCACCATTACCTCAGAAAGTTCTTACTAGCTTTCCTCCATCAGTCCTTACTTTACCCCATCCCCAGAAAAAACTAACAGTGTCTCAGTATTTTAGAAAACAGTGTGATACAGAAGTGAGTTTTTTAAAGAGTCTAAAATAAATCAAAAGCAGAATACATAGGAGATTAGATTGAGGAACAGAAGGTTGGAAATGGAAAACATTCTAGTACCGACAGTAGTTCTGAAGTAAACATGAATGCTGAGGTACAATAAAGTATCCAAAGAATTTGGTGTTATGTATTTATAGAACAGTTACCTACTTTAGATTGATCTTTTATAGATGAAGTATTTCTGAACAATTTTGTGATATTAATTTTAGCACATTTTATCTCTAGCCTCAGTTCAAACAGATGAAGAACAGAACTACCAAAATAATTCAGGCTTGCAGAGAAAGCAAATAATCCTTATTTCTAGCATACCAAAAGAAGTCTGTTATTTAACACAGGCAGGAAAATTGAATGAAAAAAGTTAATGTATTTTGCCCTGTTTTGGATTATAAAGTTTTAGATATATTCATAGTTTTAACTATTAAAATGGAACACTCATAGTACTCAGCATGTTACTTGTGGTAAAGAGTGTTTGCTTGAAATAAAAGTGCACAGATTTTCTTATCTTTTTCTTTTTCTGCACCTAAGAGAAAGCAAGACAGAATATGAACACTTATTTTACTATTCCCTGAATAAGGGCATCTGCCAGTGACTTGTGTAGACCAAATTCTACTTCCATTTCTGTATATATTATTGTCATTCATTTTTCAAATGGCAAAATTTGATTTTAAATGTGACAGTCTATGTTTTGAGCGGTAAAACTGTTAAAAAGCTTATCCTCTATCTGGAATGTTCTAGTCAGTAAGTAATTTTTGAAGAAATATATGAGTAAATACCTGAATGAATGAAACAAGCTACATTTCCTATTTGCTGAAATAGCTATTTTTGAATGTTTTCTAAAATTATTTTTCAAGTTTACAGTTTTTATAAATATCTCAGGTAAACCATTGACCTGAGTTGACATCACAATAATCTTCCTATGAATTCATAATCATTGAATTATGTGCATTAAAGTACATATCCCAAGACTCTTTCAGATAACATTTTACTAACTTAAATTTCTACATCAGTTAGTATTTATTGACTACTTGCTATATGCCCTGCATTGTGCCTGATTCTATGGAGGATACCAAAGAAGATAGATTTCATACCTAGGCATCTCATGCTTTGACTAAGGAAACAGAATTGACATATTTGTTATATGACATATTTAAAGCATCATAAAATGCGAATTTTTGTTATTTCTGAAAGTAGTTCAAAGAAGGGGCTTATCTGGATAGGCAGAAAGTTATCAGGAAAAGCTTCATAGAGATATTGACTTTGAAGAGGTGCAAGATTCAGATGAAAAGAGAGAGGGAAAAGTAACATTTTAAACTAAAAGAAATGAGTATGATGTTTGCATTAAACAAAGGGTACATGGGGAGCTGGGGATTTAGCTCAGTGGTTCTGCCGCGTGCCTTGCAAGCGCAAGGTCCAGAGTTCGATCCCCAGTACCTCCCCTCAAAAATGAGGAACAAAACAAAAGGTACACTTACTCCCATAGAGTGAAAATTACATATTGGAAATGAAGAGGAAATAAGATTGAATAGGCCAAATAACAGAAGCAATTCATAAAAGAATCAAAACTGAACTTGTTATAAGGTTCTAAAATTGCTTTATAGAACTATATAATTAAATTTTCTATTATATGAATTTCTTATTAATTCAATTATTCTAGTACCAAATTCTTCCGCATTAGTAAAGTTTTATATTTTAGTTAATATGAGGTTTTAGATTTAAGGATTATCTAATGAAGAATTTTAAAAATTCGTAATTTAGTCTCTGTAACATATCAAAATCAGTGTAACTACTATTAACCAAGGTCACCAATAACTTAATTACTAAACCTAAGGTACTCTTTCTATTTCTTGTCTCACTTGATCTTCAGTTCTTAAAACCAACAATTTCTTCTATTCGCTCTCCCTTTGGCTTCTCAAATCCCATTTGTATCTATACGTTTCTATTCTTCCCCTAGTCTGGCCCTGGTTCAGGCCCTCAATCACATTTTAGACCTTCAAATAACCCCAGTTTTTGTCCTTTCCAGCTATCTTTTCTACTTTCCTAACTAGTCCTTCACTGGTTCTTGAAGAATCTTTCTGCCGTCAACTGTGACAGTCCCTCTCTGTTTCTTCCTCACACCCATCACTTGCAGGATACACAGTGAGTGAACTGCCTCAGTCCCCATCCCACTCCTTTCAGAGTCTGGCCATCTCTCCAGCCTCTCCTTCACTCTGCAGATCCACACCAAAGCATTTGTGTATATCCTGACGTAATATGCTGTCTCTCTGTTCCTTCTTTCCTTCCTTCTTCCCTTTCACCCTCTCTCTTTCTCTTCTTCCTTCCTGGCCTCTTACCTTCTTGGCTCAAATGGCTTCTCCAAGTTTGTTCATTTGGAAAATTTCTAAATATTTCTCAAACGTCACCTCTCGTATGAAGTCTTATCTGATCAAGAGTTAGGTGTTCTGTTTCCTATGCTTCTGTTTATGCCTCGTATACCCTTCCATTTTGAGCCACATATATCTCATCCTAGTGATTTGTTAACAGGTCTCTCTGTGTTAGGCTGTCAGCTCCCTCTGGTCTGAATGATATCTTTTTATCTCTGAATCACCAGAACAAAGTATAAAATGTAGCAGACGTTTGCCCATCCACAATTATTTTTGAATGAACAAAATTATTGTTTCAATGCAGTTGATGTGCATATGTTGTTTCCTTTTGACTACGGTTAGAGAAGAATGGGAAAATATGAATGGAAAAAATGTATACACATATCTAGTTCCATATCATAGACTTTATTAAATTTATAGGAGTCAGTTGATTGGGTTGGAGACTACAATGAACCATTGACTGGGTTTTCATGGCGTGGTGGATCTGAACGAGAGACTACAGGAATCCAGATATGGAGTGAAGTTTTCATTATCAGTAAACACGATGGTAAAAAGGTATGATACCAACTTTTTAAGTAAAATTGAATTTTTACTTGCAACAGTAACCTGGAAAATGCTCTTTTGAAAACTAATCTCGGCCATTTGACATGAACCTTAAAGTGCATTGCGGGTAGCATCCTAGGATGAGCCCCCTTTATCATTTTAATGGTCACAGTGGGCAGCAACATAAGCATAGTAGAGCAGCAGCTCTGCAATCTAACATTTTGTACTTTGTTTCAATATTGTATTGTGTTTTTTCATGTTGGATTACCACAGAAAATCATCACAGTATTAGCAGCTAATTAATGTATTTTCTTTGGCTTCGTGGCATGTATAAGAAGTTATACATTCAGTATTCATTGATAATGGTTTTCTTCAGTTCTTATGGTGTTAATGTCTTGGTAACCCTATGCCCTGGGTGTTCTATACAATATCAGTAATGTGCTCTGCTTGCCTGTAGGTTGCAGTGTTATTGATGGATACTCAGGGAACCTTTGACAGTCAATCAACTTTGAGAGATTCAGCCACAGTATTTGCCCTTAGCACAATGATAAGCTCAATTCAGGTATGGAATAAAATAAGTCCATTTTTGTGGATGATTCTTTAACTAAATTTATGCATTTCTACATATACATGGTAGCGAGACATCCAACAAAAGTGGTATTATTGTTGTTTGTCTCAGCCTACCAGTTCTTTTGATAAGTTATTTTAATGAATCAAGATGTGTAAATATGAAATTTGTTTTACATGGCCGGTGGAAATACGAGTAAATGTAAAAATTGTGTGTTTGTGGCTTTTTAAAACGCCTTAATTTAATATACATTTAGAAAAGTAAATGCCTTTATATAAAAATTTTAATCCTCATTTCCTTTTCATTTTTCTATCTTTTTTGTTAAAGTGTTGTTTCAGGTGTTACTTGAGGTCATTGTCCTGAAGGTCATTGCAGAGTTTTACTATAAGCACAGAACATATAGCAGAAAAGGTTTTAAAGATCATGTTTAGATCTTTGCTGGAGAGAATAGGAAGAGAGAGTGGCAAAGAAACTGCAGGTCAATTTTTAAAAAGGCATAATAGCTTTAAAAGGCAGGAAAGGCAAGATAGTTGGCATGAGTAAGTCAAGCAGAGATTCCACGCAAATAGAGAATGGAGCTAGTGAACTAGTTACAAGGGTGTCACGTGTGGTTAGGACAAGCAAGAGAGGGCAAATAGGAAGAGGAAGGAGAAGCTGAACTGTTTAAAGGACTTCAAAGTTAAAGTCATGATCATAACCTATGATTGATGCTTTTAAAAATCTACTTCTTGAATGACCCTTTAAAATACTGACATCTATTTTTAAAATAAATGACAGTAAAAGCCATTTATACAAGCCAGTTAAAACCAGATTGGCTTTGCCTTTTTAATATTTATTATTTAGTATTTATATCTGACCATAATACATTCAACATTTTCGCAGAAAAAGTCAGCTAATGACTATTTTAGTAATGAGTATTTTAAATTATTATTTGAGAAATTATTTGTTATTTAAATGCAAAGTACACTGTATTTGTACATAAACATGTTAGCATCCTTAATTTTTCTTTGAAGCTTTTAAGATTTGCCCCTTCCAAAAAGGTACTGTATGTCATCTCAATGCTGTGATCTGTTCATAAAACAATATATAGATGAATAATGTTACCAGCATGATATTCAGAACCTAATTTTCATGTAATGGAACTTTCTATAGACATAAATAAAATGAGAAATTATGAAAAAGTCAACATAATTTTTCAAAACACAATTTTCTATATGAGTTGTTCAAATTTAGGTTGTTACTATATTGGTGTGCTTGGAACACGTACTAGTTTATTGGCTAATTGTTAATTAAGTTTATAAAATAATTTTAATATTCTGACTCCAAAGTATTGGCAATTGTATTTCTAGAACAGCCATGATCATGGTACCCTGTTTATTGTCTCTCAGGCTTTCGTGACTCTTCTGTCAAGGTCTTACAGTTGTCAGGATATAAAGATGTGTCTGATAGTTCATTTTGTAATAATTGACATTTAAATAGAGTGTGGCAAAATAAATGCTTTAGATGATGCTGATTATCTTCTCATGTGGACCCTTATTTCATAACCCAGGTGTATAACTTATCCCAAAATGTCCAGGAGGATGATCTTCAGCACCTCCAGGTAACAATGATTTTAGTTTTTCGTATCTTTTGAACAGCAGAGCTTCTGGGAATGAGCTAGAATCATAACCAAATGAAGGTTTTCTTCTTTTTAGGTTTCTTGTTTAGATCTTATTTGGTATGTTCTTTCTAATTCAGTTTTCAAATTTTTTTTTTCCCCACACAGCTATTTGCCACCAGCCCATATGAAAATATATGGCCAAAAAGTGAAAAAAAAAAACCTTTGGTTTAAAAGCGACTGAAAGGGCCAGGGATTTAGCTCAATGGCACCGCGCCTGCCTTGTAAGCGCAAGGACATGAGTTCGATCCCCGGTACCAAAATATAAATAAATAAATAAAAATGACTGAAAGCCAGGGATTTAGCTTAGTGGTGCTGCCGCCTGCCTCGCAAGTGCAAGGTCCTGAGTTTGATCCTCAGTACAAAAACAACCCCAAAAAACAAAATAAAAGACTGAAAATATGAAGTTGAAGTCTGAAGTTCAGGGATTTGATCATTAGTATGATATATGCTAGATTATTTTTCCTATGGGCCACTTTGCAGCTAAGAACTATTAGAGGCTACCTAATAATTCATAGAACTATTTTAGGTCTGAAAAAGACTTCAGTGACAGCAAATTTAGCCTTCATATTTTATAGATGAGGAAAATGACTTGCTGAAGCTCATATGGTGAATTAGTGATAGAGTAGAAACAAAAATGTGGTCATCTGATTAGGCCCAATGCTCCTCCCACTCTCCAGCAGCACTTGAACCTCAAGCAAAAGACTGATTATTTCCTAAAGATAGTCATTTCTGGAACACCTTCTGCCCTCCTTCAGTTCATGTAATTTTGGATGGATAGCAAAACTCCCATTTCTCTGATAGTTTTCCATCTGTATATTTTATAGAAAAATTTGCCCTCACTATATTATTTTGTCAAGGCAATCTGAGCCATGTAGGAAAATGTGAAAGTTTTAAGAGATCTGAAGGATAACAGAGCAAAGTAATCTGTGACGTTGAAAATATCAAATAGAGCTCTACTAAATACATTTCTGGTCATTACGCTGACCACTTAGGACAAATAGACAATATGCTGAATAATTGTTAGATGTTTTACATAATTAAAGTAATTACTTGGGCATGTGATAACCTAGCTAATTACTTTTCAAATTAATGGCATGGCACTGTTTAATTAGGAGTTTCTACAAAAGGATTAATTTTGGAATTTGATACTGAGCAAGCAGTCTTTTTGAGGTCATTTAAAAATGTTTCTGTAAATGATAATCCCTCAGCCTTTCTGAGAAGTGATTATTAATTCAAATCCTGTTTGTACATGATTGTCATAAGCATTTGATTCCTAGACCAGCTGCTTTTTAGACAGATCTTAGACTTTGATTTAATCACTCTAGCCATTGCCCTGTTGTTGCCCTTTGGTTTCTAAATTCCCACTGCTCCCTTAGGAAAGGTTGTGTAGTGCTGTGGGTTCTATTCTAAAGGGGCAAGGGACAGGAATCCATTCTTCTCTAACTCTGAGAAGCCACTGTAGCTTGTTGTTCTTTATGAAGGAACATTTCTGGTATTCATATGGGGAAACCCATTCAGCCAGTCTTGGTAAAACTCTCACCAAAAGCCCCATCACAGTCACCTCCTCTGGTTTACTTTCTCTAAAATCTTACATTGCTGGCAATACAAAACCTCATATTATGGTGCCTCATGGTCTCATTTGGGAGCAATAAAAAAATAAGAAGGTAGTGTATTTGATTTCCCACTTTTCAAGCCAAATACCCTTAATGCCTTTGTAGTAGTCCAGGGTATTATGCCTTTTTTTTAGGTCACAACTTTTGTAAATGTATCCTGCATGATTTATGGCTCTCTAGTCTAATCTGGGCAACTTCTGCTTTGAAAGAAGAAAGCATTTCCTTCTCCCTCTTCTGAAAATTTTTCCTATATTTTAGATGTAAAAGATACTCGTTTCAGGGCTGGGGATGTACCTTAGTGGTAGAGCATGTGCTTAGCATGCATGAAGCAGTTCAATCCCCAGCACACACAAAAAAGAAAAAAGATATTTGTTTTTAAATGAAAGTTTATTTTAAAATCATGTGGTACTTTATCTATTCATACTTATTTCCTAAAAAGATTAATCTTAATGATACAGTATTCTGTTACATCTGTGAAAAAAATTGAATGGAAGAAATTGAAGAAGTAAAACTGCAAATACTGAATTCTCTCTGTCTGTCTCTGTGTGTGTGTGTGTGTGTGTGTGTGTGTGATTTTCCTTCCAGCTTTTCACTGAATATGGCAGGCTGGCAATGGAGGAAACATTCCTGAAGCCCTTTCAGGTGAGAGAGGATTGAATATTGGTAAATTCTTATTAGATTTGGCTGAAAACTATAAAAACTATAAACAGACGTATTAATTAGTCAGGGCCATGTTTCCTTCTTGTTTTTGTTATTTCATTAAAGAAACATTTTTGAGTACCTATTTGATAAGAAGAAAAGATGGAAATGGGGAGTAAAAAGATGTATTAGCTATGCTGGTTCCTAGAACGGTATCAGCCTGTCTCCTCTAAACTCAACCCTAAAGATGTCACCGAAATCAGGAGAAAATTGGTGAATATGTGAAACATAAAAGTTAAAAACAAACAAGACTCCTGGGATGATATGAAAGGTGGTTGAAAGCCACAGCAAAAGCCCCAGAGAGGAGTTTTATCCCTGTTTTGAAAAAAAAAAAAAAGCACCGGAGAGGATGCAGGGTGGAATGGAGGTGTCCTTTGCTTTCTTACATATTAACCTGTTTCATTGCCACTGAGCAACCAGCTCAGCCCTGCTGGGGACTGCAGGCTAACATCAGGGCAGCATCTGGGCTTGGATCGAGTAGTGGAGTAGTGTCAGTCCCTTCTAAGCCTACCCTTATTTTATACTGAAAAAAAGAATCTAAGTCAAACAACCCCTGTAAACGGTACTTGGAGAAGGTACAGATTCATACACCAGTGACTGTCCATCTAAAACATGACTTCTGCAGCCTAAATACCAGAGGGAGCCCAGGTTAAGCTCTGAAATTTAGCTCATTCCTGCAGAGTCAAATCTGTAACTAAGATGGATCGTAACCCAAGGAGAATATGAGCACATGGGGAAACCGAATGATTGACAAAGGCAAAGTAGAGTTAGTAGCAAGTAATTGATGGCAAGTAATTGAAAATGAGCTGCATTCTCTATTGCTGCATCACAAATCCTCAGATCACAAACTTACCATCTCACATAGTTTTTGAGCATCGGGAATCTGGAACAGCTCCATTGTGTGGTTTTGGCACAAGGTCTCCCACGATGTTGTGCTCAAGACACCTTCACAGAAAATTTAAAACTTGTGTGAACACATGAGAGTGTTAAGAAGATAGCAAGAAATTATTAAGATCGGAGGGATAGGGCCCCAGGAGGGGGAAAATAATAAAGGAAAGCTACTGTGGCTGCCTTAATAGCAAGTGAAATGAACTTTAAGAAATGAGTTATTTCTTAATAATACAAGAATTAATGGTGAGTAAATGAATTGACAAATGTATAGCAAGTGCAAATAAACATTGTCTTTCTAGTAAGTCATAATTTCTAAGTAATAGTAGCAGAAAGTTGGAGGCTAAGCAAATGTCCTAGAGTAGGCATACACAGGAATACCTTGCAACATCCACAGACAATGAACTACAAGCACATGGAATAGACAGAACAGTTTAAAAGTCATATGAATTAAGCAGGAAAAAGTGTAAGGTATATATCATGATACTTTTTGTGATTGTTTAAAACGCTGTACACACAAAACAACAAATTTAAGTGGGTGTGGATGGGACAGGACAATTGAAGAATGGGAGTGGACATCTGGGGAAAATATGATAAAGCAATAAGGGGACCTTTGCTTGGAGAGATGCTGGTGTGCTGTGAATGAAGAAGCATGAATCCAGAACCTGGGAAGGAGGAAAGGGGAAAAGGTGGAATAGAACCAGCTCTGGTTTAGTCTTCTAACACAGTAACTAGACTCCTGTCTTTTTTCCCCCCTGTCTTTTTCAATCATTTGTTAGTTTGATAGTTTAAATGTTGTGTGGGATTTATACCATTGCCTTGAGTTTTCTTTTCTCTGAACTCCTTACCCTTAGGACCCCTGGCGTATGCTACAGACTGGGGACTCTTGTAAATTCTAGAAAGGAACTTCAGCTCTTACCAGCAGGTGTCACTGCTCCTTACACTTTGCCAGAAACACTGAAACTAAAGATAACCAAGGCTATGATGGAAGGGAGAAGACAGAAAGATAGAATTAGTGCTTGTGGTAAAAAATGCCAATGACCTGAAAACAAAAATACAAAAAAACTTTAAGAGATCACCACTTCTTAGTAAACTGTTGGTGTGAAATGTCAGTGAAAAGAAAAAAATTTTGGTTGAATGTGTCAACAATGACTCCTAAACATGTATGGTGTTATACATCTGAAATTGAAATGGGAAATTCATTAAGTGATAAAAGTAACATCCTGGAGGCATGTAACTGATATTAAAGCAATCAAATTCAAAACAAAAAATGCTACACATCATAAAAGATGTGGCTGGGGATTTAGCTCAGTGGTTCCACCACCTGCCTCACAAGTGCAAGGTCCTGAGTTCGATCCCCGTACCCCCCCCCAAAAAAAGATGAAATGCAAATATATTCAAATCTCAGAACATTTAAGATATGGGTAAAAATACTTCACATTTGAATTAGAAAAAGTATAGAGAGAAAAATAGCAAGATAAACTGACTTTTAAATGAAATTTCAGTTGACTAAGCAATCTTTTTTTAACCAGTTCACTACTTCTTTTCTCTGGGACAATAACAGCTTTATAAATTTGAATACGATTGTGAGAAAATCTTAAACATTGCCTGAGAAAATAAGATGAGGTGTAATGATATTTTAAAAACAATAATTGTATACTAAAATTAAACTTTTAACACACTTTAAAAGAGAATTCTTAACTCTGAAATAGAGTAGAATTATAAATAATAAGGTCGATAGCAAATGGCAAATGTGAAGACCATTAGCCAAGAAAATGAATAGATGATTTAACAGATTATTCTTTAGAAAATTATATCAAGCTCAAATCAAGTAAACAAAGACATCTGCTTGTATACTTAAAAATCATGGTTAAAAATGGAAACTAAACACTAAGTAAATTTGTTTTTAAAAGTATTGTTGAAGGACAAATGTAACCAGTAGTGTGTTGGTAAGTGTTTACAGCTGGCTCAGGAGAAGGGAGCAGGTGGGCCTGATTTATGGCATTTGCTAGTTTCTGTGGTGTAAATACTTTCACCATGGCTGATGTCAAGCTATCAATTTGATGTCAACTGACTTGCAAAATTCCTTAGATTTTAAATACTATTTGTTGCAAGTCTTTATGACACAGTTCTAAATACCATAGCACACCTAGGAAATGTAACCCATATTAAGATAGGATGTAGAGTTTTCCAAGTGACATTCCTTATTTTCTCACTAGGAGCTCTTGAGTCTTAAGTGGCAGGAGTGGTTTCATCAACATATCTATTCTGTAAAATAACTAGGTACTTTACATTGGCTTCACCTTAGGATTTCAAAAGATTTAGTTGAGAATGACAATAGTAGGTATGCAAATTTTATAAGGACCTGGAGTAATCATTTCTAGTTTTAAGAACTTAGTAAAAAATATCTCATGAAGTATGATAGGAGATGTGTCTCTCTCTCAGTCTGCTACGAATTTTCCTTCCTTGGTCAGGTGGACTGGCATAAACCACACCTGGCCCCACGTCACTCTGTATTAGAATAATCACATCCCTGGGTCTAGATCTTTATTACTAATTGTGGGCGTTTTTCAGATTGTCTGATGTTATTGAAGTTCACTCAGAATACTGTTTACCAGCACCAGCAAGGCTGTCTTCCTCTGATGCTCTCTGTTAATGTGTTTATTAGGCGGCTGTAATCTGTATGTCTTGCCCTGTGGCTCCGATTTGAACATGTTAGGTTCCTGCGTGCATGCAGGTACTACCAGTGGTTCAAGCCTTCCAGCAGCGAGACATAGGAATTATGGCCCCTTCATGAACCTGTTCAGTGGTCAGCTATCAGTTACTTGTGACCCAGGGAAAGGCTTATTTTCCATTCATGTGGCTCTTGTTTCTTTGTATGTGCCTGTCACGCACATCCTCTTAACTCTGCTGGGGTGTGCTGGTGGAGAGGTTTTCACTCTGTTATGCGGTAATAGGAGTAATTTTGTTATTGAGTCTCAGCTGAAAAGAGATTTCCCTTAGGCTGGAGTAGACTCTAAGATGCCTTTGTGTCACACCATTAAATGCTCTTTTTGGCTGTTACAGCCCAAGAGTTTACTGTTTAACAACTTCATGCCCTCTAGTTATGTAGGCCATAAAGAGAAGGAAGCGTTACTCAATTTACTAAAGTACTATAGTCTCAACATTTACTGAAGTCAGTGTTTTAGATGTCAGTACATTTCTCAGTGGCATTTTTATATGGCAGGACTCTCTATAGTCGGGCAATCTACAAAAGCCTATTTAATCTACAATAAACATAAACGGTAGCCACAATATGCCTGAGCCCGGGACCCTTGATGTCTAAAAATATCCCGTGATTGCTGGCCATCTCTGAGCCCTGGAGCCCTGGAAGAGAAGGGGGAGTGCTGGCAGGATTTAGGTGGTATAGCTAGCAGAGAAGAGATGGGTTTGCATGGTATCTGCAGCCTTGCTGATAGATACAGAGCAAGATTTTCTAACCACTTGAGTTAGAATGACTCGATTCTTTTAAATCAGAATCCTTGTTTGGGGACAGGGGATAGCACTTTCTGGGTCATTCTTAACATTTCAGGATTGATTTAGCCACTTCTTGCACCCTGGCAGAGGGCATCAGAGGCAGGGGAGGTTCTGAACAATGAGGGGGGGCATTGCCTGGGCAGGTGGTTAGTAAATTAAGGTTTGCCTGTAATAGGAAAATAAGCATAAATCCTAAAAAGCTCTCCTGCAAACAAACTTGCTTTCCTTTTTCTTAAAATTCTTATTACTTTCTTGAGCATATATTTTAGGACTGTTTACATTTATTGTCTTCTTTTTCATCTCCTCAGGGCTTCATTTTCTGGATTACTTCATTCATTCTAGTTTTTCTCATAATGCTTTTTTCCCAGTGCTGAGCTTTGAGCTGAGGGCCTTACATACTAGGCAAATGGTGTACCACTAAACTATCTCCCCAGCCCTCCCACTGCATTTTTATTACCATGTTCATATACTTAACTCCCCCAATATCTTAGACCTTAGAAAAATATCTGAATCCTCGTTGTTAGACAAAAGTAAAAGAT